GTCATTATGCCAAAGTAACCATGTTGAAAGCAATGTGAATAAAATCATAAATCTCAATTATCAAACAAAATAATATTAAAAGATAAACATGAATTAAAAAAAACAATAATTTTTTTTTATTTCAATCTGACTTAACTTGCTAACTTTATGATCATAAAGATTAGGTTGAGATAATTCCATAAAAAATAAAAAATAAAAGCATGAAGACCAATTCCCAATAAACCAAGGATCTATTTAGGAGTGTGGTCGTGGTTGTGTTTTCGAGTGTGGTCGTGGTTGCGTTTTAAATTATTTTCCATTCTAAAATGCATCAAAATAATATTTTTTTTATTTTTAAAAAATTATTTTTGATATCAGCGTATCAAAACATACAAAAAAAATTAACAAAAAAAAGAATTTTTTGAGAACACGGGTTAGCATAAGTTTTCAAAGGCTCCCTAAATGTTGAAGGAAGAGCTTGAAATTAAAAAAAATCTAAAAAAATAAATAAAAGTTAGCTCGTGTTAAGTTTTAAAACTCGTGACCTTGTCATGAGCCTGTGACTAAATCTATAAAAGACAAGCCTTACAAAATAGCAAAATAATATTTTTATCCAACAGAGTATTGAGGGATAAAATTTAAAAAAATATAAATAAAAAATTTCTTAAAAAAAAGAAATAATAATAAAAATAATAAGAATCAAATTTGATATAAAAATAATTTAAGATTAAATATTGAGGAATAAAATTGAGAACAAAATTCAATTGAGAAAAATAATAAAAACACAAATAACAATAAAAAGAATAAGGATTAAAATTGATATAAAAATTAAATGAAACTAAATGACAGGGGATGAAATTAAAGAAAAAAATGAATTAAAAAAAATAAAATATCATTTTTATATTTTGGCAAGGAGATGATGGAGAAAAAAAAAAAAAAAACTCTATCGAATCTCAGCTGTTGCTTCGTTAGGCGCACACACCAAATCACAGGGAAGATCATGGTGTGATAACTTTTAGTTATATGTCTTCGTGCTCTTAAAAGGGTGTGACTGTCCTCCACTCACTAACATTTTTGTTTCATGTGTTGGCTATTCACTTAATTTTACAATAACTAAAAACATGTATAAAAAAATCTCTTGAACACTAAATTAAAAATTTTATGTTTTTGAGAGTAAGTTAGTCATTTCACTTTCCATCTAAAATGTAACAAAACTAAAACATTTTCAATCAATGTGATAATGACTAAAAATTAATATGAAAAAGATTGTTTTGATAAAAAAAATCTTATAAATATAAGAATTCAAAATTTCAAAAGCAAGATTGATATGATACTGAAAAGTTTAAGATGATAATTAGCTTGAACTATAGCACTAACTTTGATAAGTTTGATTGGTTGTTGTTTAAACAAAGAGCAAAATGTGCTACTCTAATTTTATTTAATATTCCAATTTTATTAAATATTCCATGGTTCTTCAATTTCACAACAAAGAAAGTAATATATAGTCCTCCATCTAATAACTGTGATAGATATTTTTTAGGCTATAAACCAAAAATCTTAAATTAAAATTCAACTAACGGTATAAAATAAATCCTAAATATTGAATCCTAAACATTGATTTTGAACTGTTATAAACCCAAACTAGATTGTTATTTATTGAATGAACAGGTTATAATAAGAAGAAATGTGTTGATTGTTATTTATTTTTTATAATAAATATAATTATGCTAAATCTAAATTATTTTTATTTTTATTTTTTTAGATCGCATCAGTATTACTCTCGATAGCTCATTAATTTATTTTTTCTGAAAGGGAAAAACAATAATCACACATTACGGTGAAGAATGATCTTTATCTAGAGATATAGTGAATTCACCTTGCCTTTGAGGATTTTTTATAATAATAATAATAATATTACAAGTCCAAACTCTTGTGTGTTAATTATATATAAGGAATGGTGATTTTGGGTTTGAGTATGCATTGCTTAAGACACAAACAAAGCGAGTGCTTTGATTTCTTGTTTGAAAACGACAATTAACCCTGAGATTGATGGAATTATGGAGCTAAAAAACCAAACAATCACAACATGGACTTCTGAAAAGCTGTACAGGAATGCTAATTTCAATCTCCTTGTTTGTAACAATCTCTGTGTAGCTTCGCATTCTCCGCTGTTTAATTATTATTTTTCGAGAAGGTCCCCTGTTTGATTCTTACGTTTGAATAAAAGAAGTTATCCATGTAATCAAGCAACGGATTTCATTCAGAACAATAAATTATTACATTGAGGATCATGTACCCATTCTTGATTTTTTTTTTGTTTTAAAATATATAGAATTATATTTTTTTAAAAATTATTTTTAATATTAATATATTAAAACAGTCTAAAATTAAAAATAAAATAATTAAAAAAATACAATTTATTAAAATTCCTATACAAACGCAGATCCAGACATACAGGAAATAAGACAACATTTAACAGCAGAAAATAGAAAGGAGCAACTATATATTAGATATAGACCACCGAGTATTCTTAAATATGCAATCCCTGCATGCACCGTCCGACTGAAATCCTCAAGTGTAGCAATCATCTTAGTTATTGTTAGAAGACCGTGATCAATAGTTTATATTATTTATGGTTGTGGTTATTTTTAAAAATATTTTTATTTGAAAATGTATTAAAATAATATATATTTTTATTTTTAAAAAATTATTTTTAATATTAACATGTTAAAACAATCTAAAAATAATTAAAAGGTATTAATTTAAAACAAGAAAATAAAAAAAATAAATAATTTTGAAAATGAAAAAACAACCAGGCGTTTACATCCTGGCATCTGCATCAAGCGTTATTCCTAGATTAACCGTTGGATCAATTGAGGGCAGTTTGTTGTATGCATCGATCACAATTCTTTGTGGGACCTAGAAAGACCCCTCCTGCGTGTATTCCTTTTAACGTTCCCTGGGCACGTGCCCGGGAAGTGGAGCTGTAATTTCTTGACATGAACAGGCCTTTTCTCCATGGTTCCTTTCATGGCTTACGTGGATCTGTTCGTAAAGATAAAAAAATATATACCATTTCTCTCTCATATATACCATTTCTATATATCCCTTAAAAAAACCAAAACCAATAAAATAAAGCTAAAAAAAATAAACTAATTAAATATAATCATGTGAAAAAAATAACATTAAACTTATTAAGAAATAATAAAATACTTATTTCTTCCAATTTAATATAAATAACTCTTCAAATGGTTATTTTTTATTGAAACAAGGTGGTAAAAAAATATGTTTATAATATTTAAAATACTATTTTATTAATTTAACTTTTCAAAATAATATTTTGCATTGGAAATACTCTAACAAGTCTAAAAAATTTATTAAAAATAGATAATATTATTTATGTATTAGGATGTAATTGGTTTAAATATATCTAATTGGTGTATCAAAAAATTTCCCTTATATATCTTGAAGTGGAAATTCATACTTTAATGCATAGAAGTAAATTTTTTTTTTGTAATTTCAAAACAAACTTGGGAAAATTTTAAGGTTGGCTCACTAATATATTAGTCCTATTTCTTTTTATATTTCAAAAGTGTTTTTAAAAATTTTGAATTTTTTTATTTTTTTATTTGTTTTAAATTAATATATTTTTAATGTTTTTAAATTATTTTGATGTGTTAATGTTAAAAATAATTTTTTTTAAATAAAAAAAATATTATTTTATACATTTTTAAATAAAAAGTACTTTTGTATATTCTCTTCTTTGCTGAAGATTAACAAACTCTATATTTTTCACACCTAAAGTGTTGGGGGAATTATTCTCGGGAGTCTAAAGTAACTTTTTTCTCCTTAATAATCCAAGAAAAACTTCTCTCGTAGAGAGAATTACTCTCCCCTCACGAGAGATGGGTGTTAAGACTTAGTTTAATAACCCTTATCTCATGCTATAAAAAATATTAAGGTTAAGGATATTTATATCTTTAAGTATATAAAAGTTCTAAAACTCTCAATTATTTATTTCTTATTAATAATATATAAAAAATATTTATTTTTTATTAATAATATATAATAAATATTTGTTTTTTTTAATATATGTGCTATGAATATTTTCTCTTGCTAATGCTATCAAAACAAGATAACATTTTAATTTTTTTCTACACAAAAAAAAGACTTGTGGTTTATAAAAACCATATGAATCATTTAATAAAAGAATTCAAAATTTATTGATTTTATATATATATATTTTTAGAGTTTTTTTTTCTAAAATATCTTTTTTCTTTTAAAAAGATATTTTTTTAAAATATAGAAGAGTTTTAAAATTCATTAAAAGAAATCTTTTATAAATAGTAGATACCAACCATCATGATTTATAAAAATTAATTAAATTATTAAAATTAAAAAATTAATCAATTACCCAAGTCATAAAACATTCCATGTGCTGCTTGAACGTTTTAAAATATCATCAAAAGATATAATTGGACAAAAGGCGTGACATACAGAATCTACAAAAATGATGCACCGCATTATCGATTGTGGGTAGCTCCATCGATCGAATCCATCCACAAAAGCGTAAAATGACATCTTTTTCTCTCCAATCGAGCAAAGCATCTATTCCATAAAAGGCAACTTAATAGCTCTACCAGGGTTCATGGAATATCACATCACCCTCCTAGCTATTTCAGAAAGTAAGAAAAGGCTATAGAATATATCAATATCATGATCTCCAACGGCGGTCATCTAGGTCCTGAGATAGGAATAGCAAGTACTGCATATAAAAATTCCATAACTATAACAAACAACGAGGAGACAGGAACTCGTGCAATGCAAGAACATAGATTGAATTAAAGAAATGCAGGGGAAAAACACAGAAGCTCCGACAAACCACTCGAGGTGAGAGAGAGTGGTTTCTAAACTAGGGTTTTGTAATCCACTGTTAATCTGGGATCTCAAATAGCTAACAAAATGGTAGACGGAAGATCTCAGCTCCGAAGGGAAGTAACAATCTGGGACTGGAAGAGTACAAATAATTGGGTTGGCCCAAATGATCTCAGATGCATGATTTCAAGAGTTGGGCTTATATTTATTTATTTTTAATACAGAAGAACGGGCCCACCGAGTGTCAAAGCACATGAAAAGATTGATGTCTCAGCTTGCCGGCCTCTTGTGTCCCGCCGTACGTACCCATGCCATCACAATCGAAATCTAGTTCTCCTTCGACGTAGTTTTACACGGTTTTCCACTAAGCGGAACAGATAGCGAGAATTATTTGTCATCTTCAACATTTGTTTGTAATTGGAAAACAGACCTGTCTAAATAAATTAGAGGAGGAGACTTGCGAGAAAAAATAATAATAATCAACCAGCAAGCTTGAACCTCTCAAGCCCCACTTTAAATCCTAGTGTCTTTACGTCTTGTTGCACTTGTGCTTGGAAATCACTGTATGTGAAAGGCCTGTACTTTGAGCTCTGTATGACACTGCCTTCAGCGGGGAAGACAAAGTAGCAGATGGAGAATCTCTCCTTTTCTTTGTTCACCTTCACTCTATGTTTCACACTCTTGTATTTGTCGTCGCTTATAGCCTGATTAACAGATTTGAAGTATGAATTAGGAACATTATTAATCTAATAGCATTAGTAAGAAAAGAAGAAGAAGTAATTAACATATATAAAAATTTATCGAGCTCAATATTTTAAGTTACACGGACCTGCATCATATCTCCAAGGTTGAAAACCAGTGTGTCAGGAATGGGTTTTACTTGTAGCCAGTTATCATCTTTGAGAACCTGAAGTCCACCCACTTGGTCTTGGTTCACTATTGACAGAACGGAGCTGTCTGTGTGCACATTTATGCCCCACGCCTCATTTTCCATAGAGCATTGAGGGTATCGGTAAACACGTACGAATCCGGTTGATTCTGACATGTAAGTTTTTGAAAGTTCGGGATCAAGATGGAGGTTTTTGGCCATTGCTCCGAACATGGTTGTTGCAAGTCTAGCTAGGTGCCTTCCATACTCTTCCAACAAAACTCTAGTGAAGCGTAGAAAACAACAATATGGAGTTAACATCAAAAGAAAAAACAAACTAGGGAGAATAAAGCATACTCAGATTTCACCAAGGTTATGATTCTCACTTGAACAGCTGCCAGAATTTAAAAAAAGTAAAAGCAAACCAAAATGAGAATTTCTTTCTTATAATTATACGGTGTTCTTCTTCAACTACATGAGTAAGAAGAGACATGTGATGAAAGAACAGCAAAGAAAAACAGATGGTATCTTTGGGAGCCACCCTAAACAAGAAATCACGTGGAGAATAGCATAATTTGGCTTTAATTAACCACATGATCATGTATGCTTGTTCGTTCTTTCTACTCTTCAAGAGCTGGCAATGGGACATTTTTCCATTTTTGCTGGGACTTGACATCAATCAGTACACAGCAGTGTGCTGCCTTTGTATGTGTAAAGGAATATAAATCCAGCATTTGATTGTGCTATTCGATTCTAGACCATGAGTAATAACTATAAATAAGAAAGGAATTTTTTCGTACAGAACTATATATAAATACAATTAGTAATAAACTAGCCTTAAAAAATATAAAATCATTCGTAGCATATGACAGGCTAATCTGCCATTGAGACATCGATAAGTCAAGTGCATTAGGGGGAAAATCTTTCGGCGAGCGGTATAGTGGAATGAGATAATGATTTCTTCATTTTCTTTTATTATAAAATGTAAGCAAGACATTTATGTTTTTTTATCGAAGGAAAATATTTATGTTTACGTAATTTAATTAAAAAAAACTAAAATAATTTTCATGGAAGCGATGGTAAATCATGGAAAGGAAAAAAATCATATCTTTAGACTGGTTTGAAAAAAATAAAAATTAAAAGAAAAAAATCTGGAAGCTAAAAGCATGGGCCATGTAGAAATCATCGCCGATTACTATTTTTTTTTTCTCCAGAATTCTTCTGAGTCACATGCCAATCTCATCAGTTCCCAAATGTGCAAAGCCAATCTCAGCCAAAAACTGCACAATTGGCTCCTTGTCTCAACTATTAATGTTAAGCTAAAATCCAAAAACAGTGGGGATTTATTGGATTTTACTTTCTTACGAAGGTGCCATTATTCAGTAGCTGCTGCGCCTCTCATGGTTCCTTATGATTCACAGGATTGTACTCTGCTATAAGGTGCCATGAATATAGGCAGAAGAAACACATGATGGAAATAGATACTCAGTGGTTTAATAATTATAAGAAATAAAATTCTCCATGAATATTGTTGCTTCCATCACTTTAATCAAACAGTTCAATCGTTAATAATAAAAAAGTTATTGATGCTGACCGTATTCCTATCCTTTCTGTTTCACAAAAGATCTAGACAATCCAATCAGGAGATGTCCCTTCTATGTCATTCTTGCCGACTAAAAGAACTGTACAAGTCTCTGAAGTTCACATAAAATCCACGAAAACATGACAAAGAAAATGCTGGAAAACTGTACCTGAACGAACCAAGCGTTTCATTTTCTTTTTGTAACAGAGAGAGTTGACTCAGTGGGATATTGAGACCTTCAACCCAGTTGATGTTTTGTGGTCCTATTGAGAGAGCTGCCCCGGTTGGAGTCAGGGCAGTTGTGCCCCAAAAATACGACATGGGGTTAGTGAACAGTTCTTGTTTTGATTCAAAAGTAAGAGAAAAAAGGTTTCTGGAATGGTCTCCAAGCTGGCTCATAAGGGTTAGAGGAATCCCATGATTGACCAGACGAAACAGTCCCCAATCTTCGCAAGCCTCTTGAAGCTTGCCCAGGTCTAGGCACTGAAAGTCTAATACCGGAATGGCATCATCGTTAACAACTTCTTGAATCTGTTTGGTGGTATCGTCAAGGCCGGAGTTTTGTTGGATTCCGGCGTACTGTTGGCGAAACACGGGAGGGTAGGATTTAAGGTTCAGTATTTCAGACATGCTTGATTTCTTTGGCCTTCAAACCAAAAGGATAAGCAGAGCTGCAAGGTAAAAGGAAATTATAAGCAAAATGAGATTTATTGAATGCCTCATAAGGAGGGTCCACATTGTATGTTTGCGACACGTGTTCCCTGGGCCTCTCACCACTGACGTGTAGCCGGCAATACCATCATCCTCAAGTTATGGCCTTCAGAGTATCAAATTGATAATATGATTTTTTTGAATGGTATGAGCATAGTTTGTTTTATTAACATTCACGTGAACTTCAACAGTGAAAAGTTATTTAAAAAAGATAATTGTATTTTAATATATTTTATTTAAAATTATTTAAATAATTTAATATAAACAGGTTAATTTAATAAATTTAAAAATAATTTAAATCCTCAGTATTAAATAATAAAATTACAAAGAATTTAAGTAAAAAATTAAAAATAATTAAAATTAACCTGAATAAACTCCCTAAATTTATAATAATAGTTATAAGATTATAATAATTTTATTGGAAATAAACTTAAAAAAACATAAATTTAAAAAAATTTAAACTAAAACAATAAGCTAAAAAATATTATTAAAATAAATATTCTGTAAAGCTTTAATATTTTTGCAAACACACATATGAATAATATTTTTGCTAGAAAAATCATATTTTATTTATTAATTTTATTTCAACGTGTAAAACAAGTATTGATAAGTCAAGTTAATATATTTTTTATTCTTGGCTTTTTATTTAGTAAATCCCTTGAAAATACCGTAAGGTCCCTTGGATGTCAAAATCAAGATTTCAAGAAAACTACTGATTTGTTTGTATTATTAGCACTTGTTTGTTGAAAAGTAATCTTTTCTAGAAACTAGATTTTTTAAAAATAAGTTATTTTTTAATATTAAAAAATATCATAAAAAATAAGTTTTAATTGGATTAAATGTTACTTTGTTGTTTTAATTTTATTGGATTTGATTAAATGCGGTCTATATAGTGACGTGATATATATATATTTTTAAATCATTAGTGTTCATTTGATAAGAATATAAAAATTAAACACTCGAATTAAAAAAAAAAAAGAGTACACACACCCATTTAAAAAAGTAAAAAGTATAAATATACATGTGACAATGTCATCTATATATCAGTGGAATGATCACATGAACATATATATTTAAAGAAATCTAATAGAATCATTTAAATATTAAGAGTAAGAAATTAAGCTAACATACTCAAATGATAAACGAAAAAAAGAACACTCAAATAGAAAAATAAAAATAATCACACACCAATCATGTAATAAATTGTCATGTAAAAGCGCAAAACATATACGAGGAATCTGTCTGCAATTGCCCTCCATGATATTTTATTATATTCACGAAGCACCACCGAAAGCGAGGGGAAAATGTTACGAATGCGTGAACGGTGGTCTTTTACCATTATCACTGAAATCAAAACTATTAAGATTGAAGTAACGAAAAATAATTACTATGATTGAAGGACAAATAATTATATATAATTTTTGTTACAAAGTTTAAAATAAAATAGTCTGAAAATATAATTATAATTATGGTTATTTTTTAAAATGCTTTCAACTCAGAAAATTATCAAAATAATATATATATTTTTTATTTTTTAAAAATTACTTTTAATATCAATATATTAAAATAATTTAGAAATATAAAAAATTATTACTTTAAAATAAAAAATTAAATTTTTTTTAAAAATTTTTAAAATATAAAAATATACCCAGCCTCACGCTAAATAGTCATGCTCTCTAAAGATTTCTTACTAGCATTATATCTTTAACATTATTCATGCCATTATTCCATAAAAGTGTTTCCTTCAAAAGTTTTTGATTTTGAAAACCTCGCATTCAAGTTTTTAATTACCATTAATTAAAACTTTAACCTCTATCACAAGCATAGTTATATAATTTTGCTCGAGAAATTGATCTGAAACTAAACTTAGATTGTGGATTAGAATGGTTAATTTAAACTAATAATTTTTTAATTAAAAAATAACATTAAAATAAAATTGTTCTGACAAATAAAAAAAAGTTATTTAGTTTTATTTCTAGATGAATAGGACAAATATTAACTTAGATTTTCAACTCGTTTAGATTAAGTTAATTTTTTTTAATTTTTTTATAAATTAAATTGATTCAAATTCTAGATAGACTGAATATTAAATTGACTTGTCAGTTTCGAGTTTTATAACCAGTATTAGAAGGCCGAAAATTATGTCGGTTTATTTTTTTTAGAATCTAATAACATACATATTTTCTCAAACCTAGAGAATCATAATTTTCAATTAGTGATCCGAACAAATCATACATCCAAGTACAAATCTCAAGAATCAATAAGCTGGCAATGATCGGCAAATTAAAAAAAGGGACAAGATGGAAATGAAAGTGTACCTGAAAGTATCAAGCATCTGATCTCAAGCATGAAACCGATGAGAAAGTTGATTGAGAAGCAGGAAATTTGGGCTAGTGAACAGATCTTGTTTGGATTCAAAAGAAAGGGAGAGAAGCTTCCTGGCAAGGTCTTGAAGTTGGTTCAAAAGGGTTACAAGAACATCACATCATGGTCGACCGAACGAAACAGGCCCCAGTCTTTGCAAACCTCTCCTAGCTTATCCAGGTCTAGGCACTGTAGATCTAAGACAGTTACAGGGTCAAAATCTTGCATTTTGTGCTGGATGGTATCGTCTCGATCAACGTTTCTGGCTGCGTTTCTTCCATGGCAAGACTCAGGGGGGTAGGATCCAAGGTTCGCTGGAGGCATTTTCTTACCTCCCAGGTCTTTAATTTCTACCTACCAGAGCTGTACACATATAAAATGCTATTATTAATAATAATTTGGCTTTGATTCCACTTGGATCTGGAGTACATATAAAAGTATATCTTCTCCTGAACCAAAATATTATATAGTGGAGGTTGGTGAGGAAATCAATGAATTCTAGGACTAGGGTCCTCTCCATTACAGGAATATCACAGCTGCCCACGTGAGCATTGTCCTGACTGGACACTGTACTTGCTAGAATTACCAGGGCATCAGCTTTCACTAGTTTCCCTGGTATATGAGAAATAATTTCACCATGACGGCATTCGAATAAAAACGGCAGAACGAGAGGCGGATGTATGGGAGGAACTTCCCTAGCCACGTCCCGTGATGTTCTTGTCGGTGCCGGGCAATCAACAATCAATTCTGCCAAATTAATATGATTAATCCGTTCTAATCATGTATTAAAAGAAGAATAATAGGATTTACATCAACTTTAAGGTGCTAAAATAATTGTTTTTAAGAAATGCTTAATAAAAAACTAAAACAACCCTAGCTAGTCAATTGTTTTGTGCTTGGCACTTGTTCCATTCCTTTATAAAGGAATGAGGAAGAAGCATTTAGGAATATAATATATATTTGTTCAAAGAGCATCCACTAAGTCTCTGTGATACTGCCTTCGTTCATTGAATCAAAAGTAAACGAACTTGCTCGATGAAATGATCGAAAGGGATATTAGTGATTGAAAAGTTCGATCGAGGGAAAGGTTGTAATCGATGACAAAACGAGAAGAAAGACAAAAAGGTGCTGGCGGATCGATCAGGCGGTGGTGGGCATTGAATTTTTATCGTTGCTGTTGGTGTCATTTGAAGGGCCGAACAACCGCACAATAGCAGATATTGAAGAAAAAGGAGAATAATTTGTGTGGTTGGGCTTTGAATTCGTAGTGAAGGTGACAAGAACGACGCAGTAAATTAGAAGAAACATGTTTCTTTATATACTGTATTTTAAATGCATGTAAATTTATTTTAAAAACATATTTGTTATTTTATGTATCTACTTCTTCTCTTGCGTTTTAAATTCAAGAGAAAATGCGAACGACTTATGCTAAAAAGTGACTTGTTTCCATGCATGTTGAAAATTGTAAAATAAAGATAACTAATTACAAAAGAAACTTAATTTTCTTATGAATCTCTTTAATTTTGATGTAAATTGCTTGTCTTTGATGGGATATAAGTGATGGAACAAGTTTGAAAGTAAAAAATTGGCCTCCTGATTTTTTTACAAACTATTTGAAATAAAATCACATGTAAAATTAAATTAAATTTTATATATGATTTGAATTTAATTGATGACTTACTGTAGTTTTTATGTTTGGAATAAAATACCAAACCACACAATTGAATTTAATAGTATTATTTGAAATAAATGTGAAAATAACTTGAATCCCTTAAATTATTTCTTTTGATTACAAGGATCCTTATATTTACCACTTTTTAACAACTATTCTTTTAAAATTTTTACTATCTTTATGTTAATTTTTCAGTTTGGCTCTAGCATCGGAATGTTGGTGTTGGACCGCCTTGAACTTTCTTGCAATATTTGTTGGAATGTCGTGGCTGCCTCGATGATCTTGAGAGAAATGATTCAAGAATATTAATAGTTGACTAATTACAGGAGCATTCGATGTAAATGGAAACTCAAGTAACAAATTAACTTTAAACTTGGAATCATCCATTCATCATTCATTATATATATAAAAAAGAGGAAATTTATGTTAATGACTAACATAATTTTGATAATATTAATAACTCAATAAAGATACAATAATTTTTAATTCTAATAATTCAAAAGATATCGCCATACAAATTAAGTTTTTGACAGTTGCGTAGATAAATTTATGGTAAATATTAGTTATAACTTCAATGCTTAACTTGGATTTTTTTAATAATATATTAGCAACCCCTTCTTTTTGCTAATCATTCAAAGTGTAACTCTTCTAGATATTCAAAAAATATTCCAAAAAAATTAGAATGATTTACAAGTCATTCAACTAGATTTAATTAATCCCTAATATCTCAATGTCCTCATTAATTAGGACGAAGTCGAGAGTTCATCTAGGGCTTGATTGAATATATAGTTAACCACAACACTAAATAATAAAATATAATGCATGTCTATGATTAATTGCCCTTTGGTGAGAAAATAATGTATATGGATGTCACTCCAAGTCCCAGAATTCTACTAATGCTTCATTGATTCATTATATTCCACGTATCATAATCAAAATCCAGAAAATTATCGGTAATCTGTATGCAACAAATCTAAAGGAGGGGCCCGGACTAGAAAAAAATTATTAATTTTTTAGTTTTAACAATCTAATTAACCTTTTAATGGTAAAAGGGCAAGTAAATCGTTGTCATTATCTACAGAAGATTCATTTTTATCCATTTAGAGATTTTTTTATTATTAATGTCAATTTAGAGAGAAAACGATTATATTTTTTTTAATTTTTTTTTAAGATAACTCAATTTTTATCATTAAAAATAAAAAATTAAACCTAACACAATTATCTTTATTTTTTTTCATAGCCCTTCGGGTGCTTCATTTCCTTATAAGGAAAATGTTAGCTTGTTCTATAATGATAAAATATCTCTAATTTATAATCTTATTAGGATAAAATATTTTTGATTCATCAATGATAAATTATCTTTGATCTATCCGGGGCATCTGAGGTTAATGTCCAGCTAAACACATGGATTATAGATCTAGCAACTCGCCAGACTCATGAGCATCTAAGCTCAATACTTAGTGATCACAAAGACCATAAGTCTGAAAACTCACCAAAACTCGCAAATATCAAGGCTTAACGCTTAGCTGAGCTCAATGATAATGAGTCTGGAAACTCGCCAGATTCACAGACATCTAAGTTCAGCATCTTGCTGAGCTTAGAGATAATGAGTCTTAATCTTATCATGATCAACCATCTGAAAAGTAATTTTAAATAAATAAACAAATATCAATCAATTAATAGCTCTTTAAATTTTTAGATATTATACACCAAGATTTTGGAAAGTTTTTGCCTGTAATAAGAAATATCATTTTTATCTTTCTCGTAAAATCGTTATATGTCTCTTCTAAAATTGTTGGAACACTTGATCCTAGGTGCCTTTTTTTAACAAGTAGAAAGTTCATTTTGGAAAATAAAACTACGACCAACACTCCATGTAGCATTTGAGTCACTTTTTCAAGATATGTAATGACATAAAAAGTTTTTTTATTTAATGGTGGGAATGTAGCGATTTTAGCGCAATTTTCCATTCAATTTTAGTCTTGAACTTTGAAAATATCTTACCAATAAAAGTTGTTGAGGCTTGACTAGGAGAGTATCTGACTTATGAGTATATAAGAAATAGATATTTTATATGTGATTTTTTTATGAATCTCTTTAATTTTGATATAAATTGCTTGTTTTTGATCTAATATAAATAATCAATCTAGTTTGAAAGTAAAAAAATGGCTGGTGGTTTTCTTACAACCTGCTTTAAAATAAAATCACATGTAAAATCAAATTTAATTCCACATGTAATTTGAATTCAATCTGAATTCAATCGATAACTTATTATAATTATTATGTTTATAATAAAATATTAAATCACATAATTGAATTTAATTATACTATTTAAAATAAATGTGGAAACTACTTGAATTAACAATCTTAACTATTTTGCCCATAGATTATTTCTTTCCATTAGAGGGATCCTTGTACTTACCAATTTCTAATTACCATCCCTGTAATATTTTTATCATCTTTATGTTAATTTTCTAGTTTAGCTCTAGCATCCGAACATTGTACTAGCTTGAATTTTCTTGCAGTATCAGAAACAAGGCTGAAAACCTGAAATGTTGTTGTTGTTGCATCAACGATCGTGAGAGAAATGATTCAAAAATATTTAACAGTAGATTTAATTCAGGAGCATACAATACAAGTGGTAATTCAAGTAACAAATTTTAAACTTGGAATTATCCACTCATCACATAAAGAAAAGGAACTCTAAGTCAATGACTAACATAATTTTAATAATGTTAATAACATAATAAAAATATTCCAATAAAATTAGGATGATCTACGAGTCGTTTAACTACTTCAAAAAGATTTAATCTCTGTAATCCCAGTTTCTTTATTCCTTCAATTAATTAAAACAAGTTAAAGAGTTCATCCAAAGCTTGATTAAATATATAATTAATCACAACAGTGAATAAAAACATAACTCATGTCTATGATTAATTGCCCTTCGGTGAGAAAATACGGATGCCGTCTACGATTTCTACCAATGTTTCATCGCTTGATTATATTCCACGTCTCAGAACCCAGAAAACTATCAGCGAGCTACATGCAACAAATCTGAGCATCAGCACATATAACTAAGACTTAATTACTTGTATTTAGTGACTAATTTTTGAAGGAAGATATCTGCCATTAACAATTTAGTGAGTTCTGATCCTGCACATTCTCTCCTACCTTTAGAAACATAAAATGAATCAAATCCCGACATTTCATTAAACATTAACAGATGTACATTGTCTTAATAATAATTTTCCTCTTGTATTTAAATTTATTTCATTGTGGAATTACACACCTTCCATCTCCAGGGGTTGAACTCAAGTGGATCCTTGAATGTAGTGGGATTAGAGAACAGACCTGAAGTGTACAAGTTGTATGGATAATATTACCTTTCACCTATATATCTTGCGATGTTTCCGAACCAAAGTGTTTCATTGATAACCTAGAATTTCACAACCAATTAATCAAGTTTTAAAAGATTATTGTAATAAATCAAATTCAATTAAAATTATGAGATTATTAGAGAACAGACCTGAAGTTAAAAGTCGTTGAGTTATACTCAATCCATGTCAGTGGAGAATCCAGATTTTCTCTCGTGTTCAGAATTGCTGCATGCTTAACCTGACACAGTTAATCAGTAGGGTTGTTAATATGAATTTCCTAGAATTACTGTCAACTCTTCTAACACTGAAGGATGATCTCCGATTAACTTCAGGGTTAGTGCTAGGGCTGTTGAAATCGACTCAAAGCTAGCGAATAAGATTCCAGAGATCAGACTGACAGTAAAATCCTCCATCAGGAACTTCTCTTTATCCATGTCAACTATGACTTGATCAAGGAAATCTCCTCGCCTCGATTCTGCTGGTGCATCCATTCTTTCCTTTAGTGTATTTCTCAAGATGTTTAGAATGCTATCTTCCTGCACACTGAATATTAAGATGTGAAAATTGATCGAACCTTGGATTACAAAATAACAACTAAGACGATGAAGAATAACAATGGTTTTTTCTTTTTATATTGTTAAGAGTAGTTTTGTAATATTGTTTTTAATATCAATTTTAATAAGAATTATTATAGTAAAACACAGGGTCTCCCCTCTAATTTGTTTTTCTTTATTTTTTAGAAATTGAAATTTATTTTAAATTCAAATAAAAACCATCAAAATAATTCCAAACTAAAATAATAATTTAACTCTTGAAATTGAATAGGGCTAGACAATCTTTTAAAGCCGAAAACAAAACAAAATACATGTGATATCATGCAGCCGAAAATAAGGGGAGAAAAAGGAAGAAAGGCTAGATTAGGCCCAATTCTTGGCACAAGACAGTCCATATCAATAAAAGTGAAGCCTCAGTCTTTGTGTGCTAAATCCAGCCCAGATCTTTCAAATCCTCTTAAACCATCAAAACCCTCTTTCTCTGCCCCTTCTGTGTTAGAAACTCAAAGGTGTGGAGGATCTCTCCCGGGTCTCTCAAGCTTCTTCCGCCTCGTGGTTTAGTTAAAAACGCTACAAGAAGCTTACAAATCGAGTTGAACAGGTAAAAATCCCTTTACTTTAGATTTCAATTTTTCTTTTAGGTTTTCAAACTTACATTATTTTTGGGTTCATATTAAATGTTTCGATTTTCGGGTTTTCCCGTCAGTGATTCTGTTGTAGCGTTACAATTTACTATCCGGGCTCTCACATGTTTTGATTTTAGCTTAGCTTTTTTATCTGCGTGTAACAGTTTTGGGAACTAATGGGCTTTTGTTACAGAGAAAGAAAGTTTTCACAGCCAGTCTTGCGAGGGAGTCAGAAGTTTTTGGACTTGAAAAATGTCTATTGGAACAGGACTCGAGTCTCTCGTAGATCGTAAGAAACCTTTTTTATTGCTTCTGGGTTTGATCCTTATATTAGACTAATGTGCGATACAAGTTGTTTTACTCCCCTTTTGATGTGCTTGGTTAGTTGTTCAGATCTAATGTAAGAGCTGGGTTAGAAATTACATTTTTCAATTGTTAACATTTCATAAGCATTGTGTTCCTGCATAAACATTTCAGGTGTAGTATAAGAATTGATTTGAGGTAAAACATTTGGTATTGTTGTATGCTCGCAAATTATGCTAAAAAACTTACAAAGCAGTTAGAAATGTAATAAAATGACAGATTATATTATAGAAGCAAACAGCATATGAAACATTATAGAAGAATACTAGCTTCAACTGACCTGGGTCAAAGATGAAAAATAACAAAAGCCATTATAAGAGTTTGAGTCAGCTCATAAGCAGAGGTTTCACAATTTAGAGAGCGACTTATGGTGTGGCATGGCTTATGAACAGCAATGCCTGATGCCTTATGAAGACTATTCTTAAGCCTCAAGGCATATGCCAAAAGCCATGATAAGAGTTTGAGTCAGCTCATAACCAGAGGTTTCACAATTTAGAGAGCGACTTAGGGTGTGGCATGGCTTTTGAACAGCAATGCTTGTGGCATGGCTTTTGAACAGCAATGCCTGATGCCTAATGAAGACTATTCTTAAGCCTTGAGGCATATGCCAAAAGCCATGATAAGAGTTTGAGTCAGCTCATAAGCAGAGGTTTCACAATTCAGGGAGCGACAGAGGGTGTGGTTTGGATTATGAACAGCAATGCCTGATGCCTAATGAAGACTTTTCTTAAGCCTTGAGGCATGTGCCTTGACTTGATTTGGGTTCATAGCAAGGTTTTTAGAAACAGTTGTTTTCAGAATGTACTTGTCATTGCTTAATTGGCACACACTTTGTCTATGCATGTGGGGCATATTTTCTTTAATTCTGTGTTCTTATTATTCTATTGCCATTTTTTCCCTGTGCAGAAACAATTTCAATTATCACAAATGATGGCCGGAATATAGTGGTGCGTTATTATATGTTTCTAATACATGCATGTGATCTTTTGCTATAATATGTTAATTGTAAAGAGGCCCCTTTTGATTTAGGGAGTCTTAAAAGGCTTTGACCAGGCCACAAATATTATCCTTGATGAATCTCACGAGCGTGTTTACTCCACCAAGGTTTGTATCCTTACCTGGCTTCAGATTTCATTTTATTCCGTTGTCCATTTGAATCCTAGTGATGAAAGAAGAAAGGAATTTGCTGAAACTTAAAATAATGTGAATTAGTTTTGGTTTAAGCTGGCTCAGTTCAGTGTAGTTTCATACTTTCTTAGGGCATGTTTTAGTAATTTTAACTAATTTTTATTCTAATTACAATATTTAGGTTCCTCTTTTGTGGTTTAATACAGTGCTGAGTAGTTTTTATGCTTTGAAGAGTGAAAGATAGCAAACATCTTTGTTTCCTTTCAGTGCCACTTCAATAATTTGCTCGATTGATTTTGCAGGAAGGTGTTCAACAACTAGTGTTGGGCTTGTACATAATAAGGGGTGACAACATGTAAATCCCATCTTCCATTTCTCTCTTTCTTTCCTTTTTTTTTTCTTTTCATAGTGTTGCTGTATTGGAAAGGCTGATACCATTTCAGTTCCCCAACTTTCTACTTCCCACTGTAAGTTCTCTGCTTGTTTGTTTCAGAGGTGTTGTTGGGGAACTTGACGAAGAGCTAGATGCGCACCTTGACTTGTCTAGTCTGAGAGCTCATCCACTCAAGCCTGTCATTCATTGAACTTATATAAGGAAGCTGAATTGTCGCAGAACATATGATGGGTTAAGTACTTGCAAAAGAAAATGTATTGGAAGATTGGTGTGCGGAATGGCCAGTAATTTATTGCTCTAAATGTTACCGTAGCAGAATATCATGTTGTTGTAGGGTTGGATCAAATTTATTCAGTTTTTACCAGTGCTTAGTATTTCTCCTTTGACTCTTATGATATAACTATTGAATCTGAAACAATACAGCGCCGGTCCTTTTTTTTATATTGTTATTACTATTATCTTTTGAAATTCTTTCAAAAAAATTCAAGTGCTCTATTGTACTCTGTCAAGCATGGGACCTCCATCTTCGAGAGACAGGAAGCTCGGAGTTGTGGAAGTGAATCAAGAGGAACATGAAATCTTAATGCATGCTCCTGCAGGCTCTTTTGACCGGGACGGTTCGTCTTTGCTTAAACACCTGAACTTGAACGCACACGTTTATAATTGGTTTGATATTTATTCTTGAACTCCATTGCTATAAATTGAGCTTCTTACTAACCATCTAAATTGTAATCTCAAATTAACTATTCTTTTCGTTCAAAACCCTTCTTAGCTACACCAAACACAAACCTTCTGATCTCTCTGAGTTGTTTTCTGAAATTATTTCTTGTTCGCTTAAAAGTCCCAAGCAAGAGTAACTGCTAATCTCTTGTGCTGTCTTTTATAAACCGAAAAAGTTCGGTATTTTTCTTATAAAAAGAAAGGGGATACCTCAATTTAATCCCAATTTTTCTTAACCATTTCCAATTGAATTCCAGACCTATGAAATTTATGATTAGGTTCCAAATGTTTTCTAAGTCTATCAATTGACTCCTTTTGACAGTTTTTATATAATAATGCAAGTCTAATGTGCATATTTTATGCACTGAAATGATTTTGATTTGAAGAAAATTTAATCAAAAAGTTAAAGAACACTAATATTTTTTTAATGTAATATATATATTGAACGCACTACAATGACATAAATTCGAAGACATTCTGATAAAAATATGGATGAACATTGATAGAAGAAACACCTGGTAGAGATTATTTTTGAACAGTTTGGATCACATTGAAAAAATCTATAAGTTTAGGACTGAATTTGGAATGAAAAATATTGGTATGGGACTGAATTTAGGTTTCCCAAAAAACGACATGTCATCTCTTACCGGGGACACATAAATAGCACTTTAAATTGATGAAGCTGCCCACACTCAATCGCCCTCACTGTTTAACGCTGAAGCTGTGCTAATGGCCAACACCAATCCCTCGCAGCTCCTCCCGTCAGGTCAGCTACATATTTCTTTCTTCTCACTCTTCTTTTCTTTCTTGATAACAACATCAAACAGGAAAAAAAAAGTGATGATTTTGGTTTTGTTCTCTCTCTCTTGAAAACAGAGCTAATAGACAGGTGCATAGGGTCGAAAATATGGGTGATAATGAAAGGAGACAAGGAACTTGTCGGTACTCTGAGGGGATTTGATGTCTATGTCAACATGGTCCTTGAAGACGTTACTGAATAGTATGTAGTAATAAACACTATTTCTCTGATTTTCCTCGCTGCTTGTTTTTTATTTTCTTGAAATTTTAGGGTTTTAAGTGAGTACATACAAGTATAAATCCACGTACTTTAATTTGAGTGTTTTAGTGACATGGGTTTTTAACTGCTCTCTTTTACGAGGACAGGTTATTGGACTAGCTTCTTTGAGACTGCCGGCTTCATTGTTGATGATTGCTCGTTAATATATTGAGCTAGATATTTATGTGTTGGTGTAAAACTTGGTTATCAAATATTCATTTGCTCTTTACGAACACTACTACTACTGTTATTATTTCAAGTTGAAACAAAATCTTGAAACAAAAGTGTATGTGGGGTGGCCAACCATGATATCAAGGGATTGATGTTTTACTTTGGGTAATGTTTATAGCTTGAGGGTGGCTGAGCGATCCAGTTTCATGGTTGTTTTTTTTTTTGTTTGTTTTGTTTTGTCTGTGAATTCTCACTGTTGCAAATCATTGGAGGAGTTACTTCGTTTGGAGATTAGATTATTTTCTTTTTGGCAAAATGACTATATCATCAACCATTATGATCGAATGCTGAAAGATGCTTTTGCTTGTTTCTGTTTCTTTATTGATACGACAGTGAAATCACGGCTGAAGGGCGACGGATTACCAAGCTTGATCAGATATTGCTGAATGGAAATAACATTGCCATTGTAAGTAAATCATACCTATGACGCATCTTTACAAGGCCCATCAGAGATTAGTTCTGCTCATTGTTCATGTGTAAAGCAAATTATGAATTTTTTGGCTTGATATTTGGGCCATTCGGCAAAACTTTAAACAATATAATCTGTCGATAATCGAGGGCTTTTCTGTGTACTTGTGTCTTGTGATCTGGGTGAGTAATCACCATGCAATTTTAGGATCCTGGAATAAGGAATCACAATGTCTAGTAGGTGTTTTACTTTTTTTTGATGAATGAAGGTTTCATTATCAATGAGACTGATAGGGCAAAGCCCAATACACGAATAAGTTTTAGAGGCCAAAGTTTGCTAAAACTTTAGGTGCTCTCCAAAAATTAATTACTGCAAATAGAATGGAACCTCTGATTTCTAATAGCTTTCTGCATATCTACTTCCAAGTATGTGTTTTACTTTGTTATGGTCAGATGTGAGAAATATGCAGATTAAAGAAAAATCTAGTTCTTTAGATTTGGATCATTTTCTAATATCTGGTTTGCAATACAGCTGGTTCCTGGTGGTTCCCCTGATCCAGAATGAAAGCAGTGGATGTCTGCATAACTTCATTTTCCTTGTAATGTAATTGAGGCAGATACCTTCTCTGTTTTACCGAGAGGGGCATCTGTTAAGAATTCCATTTCTATCTATCCATTTTTCTGTAGGAATGTAGTTGAAGTATTATGGTGGATGAAATTATTGTCTTTATTCTAATGATAATACTGGTAGATTCAGAGTTCATTGCCTTTTTCTTTCCTTATCTACTTCTGGATTGCTTGTCTAAGACTAATTAAACTCCAAGTCTAGCTATATTACTAGGATCTAGAATGGTTATCAGAGATGGCAGGAGAAATGGTGAACCAAGGAGATAAGAAACAGGTTGAACACTTGAGGCTGAACTGGAGAGCCCTACCACTGGTGGATATGCAGATATTATGATTTTAAGAATCATTGATTGTGATGCCATGATTTTAAGCTATCAGCTTGTTCATGTCAGATTAACTTAGGTCAATGTTGATTCATCGCAAAGCTTGGGTTATGGATTGTGTACAATAAACTTGGGTCAATTTTTTTTAATAAAAAAAATAATTCAAGTTTTGATCTCGTCAATATGGTAGATTTTCTTTGGGGCTCCACGCTCCTACTTTTTCCTTGGTTACTCAAGAGGCAAGCTGAACCTGCACAGCTGATGTTGCAGAAGTAGTTCAAGTATCATAGAAGGCAACGGTGGGAGGACTAGTTTATAATGGTCTATGATTAAACAAAAAGAATCACGCAGTGTGAATGGTATAAATCTTATGGCATCAATAAATTTCTGACTTGGATGGTTTCTGAAAAAGCAAACCATTCGAGTGTTTGGTCTGAAGGTGAAGAGGTTAACAAAACTGTTCCATATCTTGTAGTGAAGGAATGAGACTTGGAGTAGCAGCAGCACAAAGGTCAGAAGACCGAGAAACTGGGACTTGGAATTGCAATCCGAATCCTGACTCTCGAGATAAGATTTTGGAACCGTGACCGTGAGTGAGCTGTGAGTATGGGCTAGGATTTATTGATAGCCCAATATTAGGACAAGCCTCAATGTCCGTGCTAATGGACTGGATTCTCGAAACGACTTTGTTCTCGTATAAGCCTATACGTTTATTTAATAATTTATATATATACATGTAGAGTCCGTTTCTTCTCTTCGTTCCAATCTGTTGAATCCAAGTCTCCGATTTCATTCAACAGCTAAGGTCAGGTCAACCTCTCATTCTCACCCTTGATTTATCATTCATTTTCATTCTTTTCTTTTCTTTTCTTTTTGGGTTTTAGGCTTTTGGATTGCTTAAATTTTGATTCCGCCTTTTAATTTTCTGCATTTGGTTGTTATGGAATTGGAAAACTGGAAAGTCAATATCATGTTGGATCAAATCTTACACTAAAATATTCACACAAGGATGGGCATTTTCTAAACTTGATGTATGTAAAGTGGGAACTCGTCATGCTCTTTTATTATGTTTCAATAAAAATTCCTAGTTTATCTCAGAAACATCATAGGAGTTGGCTTGCTCTTAGTTGTCATAAATAGTTTCTTGCAATATCGTGAATGACAAGGTTTTTGTAATGCTCTCAGTGTGTTGTTGTTTTTTTTTGGCTGGTTATAGGTGTGGTGGGAACCAGGGCTTTGTGGAAAGCAACATGGCAAAGCATCATCCTGATTTGATTATGTGCAGGAAGCAACCTGGAATTGCCATTGGACGACTTTGTGAAAAGGATGATGGGAAATGTGTAATCTGCGACTCCTATGTGCGCCCCTGCACGCTTGTGCGAATCTGTGATGAGTGCAATTATGGATCCTTCCAAGGTCGATGTGTTATTTGTGGAGGAGTGGGAATCTCCGATGCTTACTATTGCAAAGAGTGCACCCAGTTGGAGAAAGATAGGGATGGATGTCCCAAGATCGTCAATTTAGGGAGCGCCAAGACGGATCTGTTCTATGAACGCAAGAAATATGGTTTTAAGAAAAGATGATAAGCAATGGGTTTCACCTGTAGTGTTTTTTGTCAGCCATTGTTCACCAGAATTCGGTGAGCCCAAATGTCACTGCCAGTCATTGTGAAACTATTGATCTAATGGACTTGGGTTGTACCATAACAATGTCCAGTATTCTCCTCTTATTGTCTGACTACTTCAAACCCAGTGTTTATGGTCTAATGAACTTGGATTGTGTGAGATGTGAATTTAGTTTTGGCTACAAACTGTTGGAAGCTTTGATATATTTTACCTGCTCCTCGTTTTCTCGGTTGTTTGAAGGGAAGTCCTTGGAAGAGGCTAGTTGAATCGAGATATCCGATGTTGAAAATTTGATTTTCTCATTGTTGAGGTGAAGACACGCTTTAGCTTTACAGTCTCCCAGAGTAATCGTTGAGGTACCTGATGATAATAGAGGTTTGCTGATGCTTGTCCATTCAGTTATTAAAAAGTTGCTGTAGATCAATTCCATATCCTGCGGTGGAGGAATAGTGAGTACTCTAGGCAGCAGGACTAACACTGATTTCAGGGCCAAACTACTTGCCTGTGCCGACTTTCATATCCAAGAGATCTTCTGTTGGCTAACATAAGATGAATTTTTTTTTAAAGAATCTTATTCGTGATTAATTTGGTTGGTATTTGAATTGTAAAACATGGGGTAACATTCTGCAGTCGAGCTTCACATTCGAAGCCAACCAATGACCAAAGTAATGATTTTTAAGGTTTGGTTTATAGTATAATGTCCAGTTAATCACTCGTCCATTCAACGTGGCCGTCGACTAGCTATTCTGATGTCATTGTTATGTCCTCTTCAATTTCTGTAAACCACAGGTGCTTAGAATCAGTGCCTTCTTCTTCCTCTCTCCATCGTCCAGAATTTACTCTGTAAGCATAGCTCTAGAGTGCCCAGAATCCAAAGAAAGGACAGTGCAACAGATGCCCCTTTCGTTTATCCTTTTTCTCCAGGTGCAATTTACTAACCAGCAAATCTTCCAGATGGTTTATCTCTAATCCAAGGTGTTTAGTATAATTTTGTAGCTTCTCACATAGTGCCCGCAACAATCCACAATCACAAGATCACTTTGTTGCATTTCTTGCCTTGATTTATGTATATGTTGTTTGCTTTTTTAGAAAACAAGGGCAAGTTACAATGACAAATAGGGATGGGGAGATTGTTAGTGAGAGGAGATTGTTCCATATAAATGGGAAAACAAGCAAAAATTATAGGAGGAATGCATTATGCATCATTAGTCGCTAATACAGTTTGCAGATGAGAGGAACACAGGCATGAAGAAAATAATTTGTTTTTTAAACGAATATAAATAGATTAATCAGAGCTAAAAAAGGGTCAAACATGGGCTCATGCACCGCTAAATTTTATTACGTAGATGAAGATTTTAACTTTTTTTTTTTGTCGAAATGAATACTAATATACCACATACTAAAAACACACAAGGAATGAATTAATTCGAAAATGCCAGTTTTAATTATTATTTTTTTATTTTTTATTTTTATAATTTGAGTTATCTGCGTTAACTTACTATTAATCTCTAAATCTACTAAATAATTTGTAAGTTTAATAAACAGGTAAAATACAAAAAATCAAATCCGAGTACTGAAATATGACAACAAATTCCTCTCCTACCTCAAATACACTAATTTTAAATTATAGTAATAAGATTTATTATATTCTTTTTATAGAAGGAAAATATTTATCAAGCAAAGACGAAAACCTAATAATTTCAAAATTTCTAGAATCCTTGAACTTTCTAGTGTTTCTTTCTAAACAAATTGGAAACGACTAGTAGTTTATATCTCCAAACTTGCCGACAAATCATTACTACAATACCACATTGTATTATTTGGGTGGACATCAATGACAACTCGGGGAGTTTTGTTATTGATTTGTTTATTTGTTTTAGAATGTTTTTAAAAAGTTTTTTTTTTAAATTACTTTTTTAACATTTTAATATTAAAAATAGATTTTAAAAAATAAAAATATATTATTTTTACATATTTTGAAATAAAAAAAAATATTTTGAGAAACCCGCTATCATAACACCGCATCAAACGGGCTCTTAGAATCCTAACCTCGTGTCGTGCCTCGATTGTTCTCTTACGAGCCCATCCAGAAAGACTCCTAGCAAAACCATCGAAAGCTCCTTTCTCCAGGTTTCCCTCTCTCTGCTGAAAGAGAAGCAACAGAGTCTCAAATCGATTCCAGCAGGTACGCGTCTTCCTACTCATCAATGTTCTTACACTTAAATTTTTGGCTTATCTAAAGCTTCTTTTGGTGGGTTTTCTGTGTCACTCTTGATGTTTCAGTATTTGGTGTGCTCGGTTTCGTTACTTTATAAGCTGGTTTGGTACTTGCTGGTTTCAATTATAAGCTTTGATTTTTTGGGTTTCCATAGGAGCTACTTGTCATAATAAAAGAGGATTTTGATGTCTATTAGAACTTAGAAGCACAAATTAGCACATGTCATCTTAAGCTTCTTTCTTGAAAAGCCGAGAGTTCCAATCTTCATGTCCTGAATCAAACATTAGCTTGTTCAATTTAATTAGAACGATAGTTTAGTTAAGTTTGAACCTGAAAACTGGCACTAGCTTCACTAGCCTGATAGCTCCTGCAACGGAAAAGCTTGGATCTGCTTTTGTATTTTAAGGTCATAGAATGTATTCTGTTGCCTCTGGTTGTAGCTGATGCTAAAAAGTTAGCGTGACTGCTAGAGTATATAGGTATGGGGTCTATTGTTTTAGGATGTCCATTTCAAATTTGATTCATTTTGCTTTTTTATTTTTGATTTAGTTTGCATTTTATATGCTAATATGAGATGTGGAAATTCTCCGGTTAACCTCAGAACAACGAAAGAGGATGTTTTGTTTGATGCTGTCATTTTTCTCTCTGTGAATATATAGTTTATTTTTGTTATGAATATGGGGGCGATTTTCTTTTCTACCAAATGCAATATACCCCATGGTTTGACGTCCATTTACATTGTGGTAGTCACAGGTACACGCGGTAACTCTAAGATCTTGAAGAGATCATGGCCAAGCATCATCCTGATTTGATTATGTGCTGAAAGCAGCCAGGAATTGCTATTGGACGCCTTTGTGAGAAGTGTGATGGAAAATGTGTTATCTGTGACTCCTATGTGCGTCCTTGCACGCTTGTGAGAGTTTGTGACGAGTGCAACTATGGATCCTTCCAAGGTCGATGTGTGATTTGCGGAGGAGTGGGAATCTCTGATGCCTACTATTGCAAAGAGTGCACTCAGCAGGAGAAGGATAGGGATGGGTGTCCAAAAATTGTTAATTTAGGGAGTGCCAAAACAGATCTGTTCTATGAACGTAAGAAATATGGTTTTAAGAAAAGATGATGAGCAGTGGATGTCATCTGTAGTGCCTCTTTTCCTATCTGGTGCCCGCAATCTAAAATGTTGAAACAGGTTTTTAGGTCTTGAGATTGTATCTGCTGATATTATCTCTAGTTGTGTTGAAAACAATATTGATTACTGAAGTGAAGTTGTTGCTGAATGCAATGGACTTGGATTGTATTGGAGCCATGTCTAGTCTTTTGTGATTTCATGAATTTTAGCTTGCTCTTTATAATCTAATTTCTTGGATTTATTTCTAAGCATGCTGGGAAATATTTCTGCTCCTTTGTCCTAGCAGTATGTCTAATCGAATTCACTTGTATTAACTTTTGTTCAAGTTGATAACGTGAACTTGTGTTTTTGGCTCTGAGTTGTGAGTAGTCTTATTTTCTTAACTGGTAACTGGGCCTCAACGGGTTAATATTATGTTTTTTCTGTAGATTAGGCTGTGTTTATCACGTTCTACTAGTTGTCTTGCCTTCTGTAGACATAAATGTTGCTAGTATTGCCATTACAGTTTGCTTAATAATATCCTCTCAGGCGATCATGTTCAGAGAAGCAGGAGCGTCAGGATATGTAATTTCTGGCCAACTTCGATTAGAATTTAGACTATGACAACTACATTGCTGGTGACATGAGTCTTTTCTGGATCAAGCTTTTTGGTTGTCTACCAGCAACATTTACGGTCCTCATTGCCTGTGTCATAAACCAGCGAAAAGGCAAGAGTAGGATTGTTGACTGTAAAGGACAGGAATCATTATAGAAACCAAATTTCAAGGCCATTTATTTGCTTTGACCGTTGATGCGTAGGCAGAGAGCCTTTTTCCTAGTTGTGGAAGTGGGAACTTTTCGTTTTGCACCAATGCTACATTGAACTGCGTTTGAATTGATCTTTTTATTCACGGCACCAAACTGACCAGATGGCAGTCACTGAATGTACTTCTGGCTTTGTGACTGCACTACTGATGGTAGTGCCACTAGTCTTGGCCATGATCAGATGGCGCATTTCTCGCTAGTGGGGCAGAGAGAATTGATCTTTCACGAATATATTGACCTTGGCACAGTAACATACATCCGTTCCGCCATTCACTGTTATACCACCGATGTCATCCCTTCAGGACATTGCAGAGTGTCATGATCGGGCATGCAATAGTTTTACGCGAATAGTCCAATTCTTGATGACTGTACGTAGATGTGAAATCCTTTTGCAGATGAGAAATGCCCTTTTTCTGCTTTTCTTTTCTTTCTTTCTTTCATTTTTTTTTTGTTTTGACGGTGACGACATTTTTTTTGGGATTGTTTAGAGAAGCCTCCTCCCATGGGATTCTAACATGAGATGATAAATTACCCTTTGCTAACTGAACCAGCACCCTAAAATGCATGTCGGGTCTTCTGTTGGAACAAGTCTCACCTTCGGACAATGTGACATTCTACATATGTATCTGTTGAACCTTTCTGGCCTTTAAAAGTTTAAAACCATGTTGATTTTGTTCGGCAAAGTTAATGCTACAAGTTCTTGTACAAATGTAAGCTTATTGAAGTCTCTCGAATACGTACCGTTGCTAAAAATACCATGAAGGGGAACAGGTTATGCATGCATCTGTGCAAAAACTTTGTAGCGCTTTGTTGACCTCTCTTTGCAGATTTTCGAAACATATCTCAGATACTCAGCACCACATTATCATATGATCTCTTTCCTAAGCATATGCTTCCAGATAAGATTGTATGACTGGTTGATGCTTTTGGCTTCATGTGGTTATAGATAGATAGACACACACACGTGTGTGTGTTTTTGTGCTTGATGGTCTCTTCTGGCACATTTTAGTGCTACTGCTCAGTTACGATTAGTCGTGGTGCGCGTAAACCTGGCCCGGACATCCACGTTAATCTAAAAAGCACATTTTAGTGCTCCATACTGCTCAGCTACGATTAAATAAGCAAGCTGTTCATGGAATGAACTGTGAGTTCAAGGCCCGATGTTACAAACGAGCTGTGTGCGCAGTCAAAATGCTGTCGACATCACGGAGCCAAGTCAACAATGTACGAAGAATTAATTTTTAATGTGAGTTAGGACTTTAATCTCAACACAGGCACCGTGTTGATTCCATTCCAAGCGTCATAGCACTGACAAGCTACATTGCATGCACGAAACCATTATGGTTGCTTTCATAAGTAGTAGGCTGAGGGATACGTGGGAGTTAGAAGAGAAGAACGCCATTGCAGCAGTGATTTGAGGTATAAAAAAATCCAATCATGGAAATACTATGAAATCAATTATATATTAGTTAAATTATACCTGTAATTAAGTCACTGAATTAACCAAATGTTCATTGATGTTTGTTATACTAATTGCCATTGAATGATAATTGTGTTAATTGTATTTTTATAATTTTCGTTTATCGATACTAAATCTGTTTTTCAGATCCAATGAAATAAACCGTCTGCATTGAGATTAGAGTATTTATAAAGAAATTATAATCATCCACGCAATCATTTTGTCATTAATTAAGACTCTCTATACAAGACAAAAAGAATAAGAGTATAAATACATGAGATCAGTACCGGTATTATGCAGGAATTCTTGCTTTCAATATGTTCATGTAATAGATATCTTTTATATAATCTGTTTATGTGCAGTCTTACTTTTATTTTTATCTATTATTTCATGATATATATATATATGTTTGATGAAATGGAAAATGCAAAATAAAATCATAATTAGAAAATTGACTATGAAAAGCAAGCAAAGCCTCTTATTTATCTGGTAAAAGCGACAGCAACCCCATTGACCAAAACCTGAACGGTCCGATGCACCCACTACAGATATAAAAAAGTGGGATCCGACGATTTTCAAAACGTCAACTCTCATTAGCATTCATTATCTGCCACGTGGCTTCCTCGCAAGATTCATTGTTCTATAAATAGTGAGCGTTGTCAACTTGCCATTTTGCAGTCATTAGTAGTTTCAGCATCAACTCGATCGAGAGAGACGAGAGATGGCATTCGGAGTTCGCTTGTGTTTGTGTCTCCTGCTTGTCTTTGCTGTAATATCTTCAGCTCGAAACACCATTTCATTCTCAGGTATGTTTCTTCTGTTTTATTGGTTATAGAGCGTACATGCTAAGGGTCATCGATCGTTACAACGCTCCTGGTTAAAATCAAAGATGACCCTTTTGGCTAGCTAAGGTTTCTTCACTCTTTAGCCATGAAAGTCCTTAAAGAAGCAAGATTTTCTGTTGCTACACCAAAGAGTCCAGTTTTTAGTGTAAGTGTGGTGATGCGTGTATACATGCGCGTATAAGATTTAGAGCCATGAATTGAATTGCTGTTCCTTAGCATGCAGATCAGAAGCTCCCAAGACTTTCCTTGTGTTTAAGTTGAACAGAGGAGTTAATAAAGTCCAGTGCAACTCGGATTCCAGGAAATTAAATCAATGGGATGCCCGCTATTTACGTCTTAATCTATGGTTAATAAGATTGTTATTATTGTAATGTGTGCAATAGGCCAGCGAGATTCTGTGTGCATGGTCTGCACTGCATCGATACATGTTCCTGCTTAATATTTATTTGCTATTATCATTATATTACTTCCACTTATCTCACAGCACTTTCGTAAGAGACAACATCCTTTGTTTTTTTCTTACCACACCACATAGAGGACACATGATAATAACAAGTTGATTTCATTTAGGCCGATTCAAGTCTGGGAAAGGAAGAGAATTTGTTTTTAGTGAATTTAAACAATGGGTCTGGTGTTGACTTAAAGGTTTCCAATAATTAAATGTGTTATTGTGCATGCAGATGATGAAATGGCCTTGCCTATAAAGGGGAGGTCCTTGAAGATTGCACTGAACGATTACGGTGACCCAGTAGCAAACCGTGGGCACGATCCTCCACAGAGAAACAAGAATTGGGGCGGCAGCGGCGGTGGCCGTAAAGGCTGAGAGATTCTGTGATGTTCTCTTTAATTATCTAATATTTTGGATACTAACCTTAATATATATATTGAATAAATAACACCGGCTCACGTTTTGTACTTCAAGGTAGCTGATTTATACTCATTTGCCAGCTAAACACGTATTCTCTAAGGCGCCTTAGCTTCCTTAATTAATTGTCATCTTTCTTAATTTCAAGTTGCTGTGGCATGTCAAGTGCATCTTTAGCTTCAGCATGGGTTCATCTTCTTCAGTGCGGTAAACCATTATTTTCAAGAATTATTTAAGATTTTTCATATCCGAAGCACGATACGAATTAATCTCTTCTGTGTGGAATGTTGTGCTATCAAACATTATCTCCATATTCAATTATGATCCCAAAGGGGACGTTGACGACAAAATAATATTTCACATAGCTGTAAGGGGACATGCAAGGCAGTCGTTCGAACTTCAGATTAAGGATCATTAATTGCAAGTCTCAAGTTCAAATTCTAAGAAATTCAATGTTGGGATTCAGGGAATATGGAGAACATTACCCTCTATTATGTAAACTAAAATAAGAAAAAATAATCCACATCGGAAAGCAAAGAAGAGTCAGACTAGCAGCAGAAAAAACCCCTCCTGGGCAGAAACTACAACAGGTTAATCGACAAAGACCCCATTCCTCTCGTATAGAACGCTGTTATCCACAAAATCCCCTACAATATTCCTCATCAAATCCCAAGTAATTTCATTCGGATCACAACCAAAAAGTCATTAATGCGCACTCAAACCACAAATAATTATTAATTATTTTTGTCAAAAAGGGAACTTGGCATTAAGCGGAGTAATGGTGTCATGACAATCTCAAGAGTAAGTTTTAACAAACCAGATTTTAGAACTTGAGAAAAGAGTGCTATAAAGTTGTAAGATAAAAAGAAAGAACAAAAAGAGATAAAATGATTCTGGTGAATAACATAGGCTATTTCAAAAATCATTTCAAAAGTTTTTTATTCAATATTTAAAAAACATAATTAATTTTTGTGTATATAAAGTATATATAGATTTTTTTTTATCCTATATTAAAAAACTAAAATCTTTATTTATTTTTTTATATAGTGGATTTTGATATAATAATTTAAACTGAAATTAATTTTCTAACGGTCACAAAATTTTAACATTTTTTTTATTTTAAAATTTTTGTAACAGTTACAACTTTTTAATTTTTTTTAACTGTTATAATAACTTTTTTAATTTTTTTAATTTATTTTCTGCCTCCCCATTACATCCAATCATCTAGAGGTAGGACATCATCACCGTTAGTGGAGTTACATGCCATTAAAATATCGGGATTATCTTGAAATTCTATTTGCATGGACAAAGGCAACCCACCAGCCGCATCCTGGATATTCACTTCAGTTTGTTGGTTCTCACGTTTCTCATTAGACGGTTGCGCTTGTCCAAACTTTAAACGCTTTGGTTAAGGATGTTGCTCGGTAAAAACAGGTGGAGTCTTAAAGCTCGAGCTCGGATCAACGTTATTATGAATGATGTTTTATCGAACCTTGCTTTTCTTCTAGCGTTCACTTGCCCATTTTCTTTGTTTGAATTTCGACGATGGACGTCGTTCCTCGGATTCGGTAGCAAGGATCTATCAAGATTGTACTCGAGCATAAGCCACCGATCATCGCACTCCTTTGAGCTATAGGATTTCTATATCCTATCTCTTTTGTAAACAAGCAACCACAAATCAATTCTAAAAATAACATCATAAATTATATTATACATGTTAATAAGTTAAATATTATAATTTCTAAACATAACGATGTATTACAATAAAATATTAATTTTATCAATTAAATCAATTATTTAATAAAATTATTTATCCATGTATCTACTTTTTGGTTCAAGGGTGCGAAATACCTAAAAATATAATTAAAAAATTTACACATTTCGACAAATAATTAATTAAGAAATAACTATGCATTTACATTAAAGTAATTCTCGCATCATTAAATGAATTATCTTATCCTAATAGTTTAATAATTTCATAAATTCTTTTCTAGATAAAAAGATATAATTTACAAAAAATATCAAGAGTATCTCCAATAAAAACCACATATTTAACTTCAAAATAAATTAATTGAATTTTACTATTTATCTATTATTCCGAATAATTATTCCATTAATTCAAAAGTTTATTTTCTTAATATATTCATTTATGAAAACATTATTTCCAGTACAATTGAATTTTACTATTTATCTATTATACATTATACCGAATAATTATTCCATTAATTCAAAAGTTTATTTTCTTAATATATTCATTTATGAAAACATTATTTCCAGTACCTAGTAAATTATTTTCTCTACTTGCCCATTCAACATGATATTATTCTCTCTCTCTCTCTCTCTTTTTAAGCTTTATACCAAAAATTACAATCTATGAAATTTCTTCTACTATTTGTAAAATTTAATTAACGATTCTTTGATGCGGAATAAATATGTTTATAATAAAATTGTAAGTTTTAATAACAAGGAAACAATACCTCCAGCCATTAATATTCCTCACGTATTTGCTGCTCTCTTTTATATATATATATATTTGGCACTTCCAAACTCTACTCACTCTATATAGATGGTGTAAAACTTAAGGTAATTGAGTTAATGAGTATGAGGACCAAATAATATTATTTATAGCCAAAGCTTCCATCAAGCTTTAATGGTTATATATTACATATATTTATTATATTATGAGTAGTTACAAGTGAAGCACTTTAAGAGTTCATGAATGTTACATCCTTAAAGTGAAGCACTTAAAGAGTTCATAAATGTGAATGTTACATTCTTAAAGTGAATTACTTTAAGATCTTATAAATATAAAGGTTACAACCTTTAGAGTGGACCATTTTAATAGTTCATAAGTGTGAAGGAGAGTTAGAGAGTCGTTTATAATGACTCTATAAGAAACGGTCAACATTCTCCCACTTGGTCCACATTTGTAATCTAATATTTCATCTTAAACCCATTGACAATATGTTTTAGTAATAAATACATGAATCATGACGATAGGTCCTCTAATTGATGAGTATTATCTTCCATATATTACTATGTATTTATTACTTTAAATATTATAATTTCACGTGGCAATAGGTTCTTAATGAATAAACCCTATGTTTATTTTTAGTCCAATACAAATGAATTTTTCTCAAAATCAAATTAAGGTGCACATCAATATGAGAAGAATATCAAAATAGTTAAAAAAATAACATTGTTCAAACAATGAAAATTACATAATGGAACAAAGTCCCATATCCACTACATGATCCTTGAATTTCAACGGTGGCATGCCCTTAGTCAAAGGATCAACGATCATTAGTTTAGTGCTGATGTACTCAATGACCACTTTCTTTTCTTTAATACGTTCTGTTATGTTTAAATACTTAATGTCGATGTGTTTACTTTGATTTCTACTTTTGTTGTTCTTAGCCATAAAAACAACAGTTGAATTATCGCAAAACATTCTCAATGGTCTATGGATAGAATCCATAATTCTAAGTCCGGAAATAAAACTTTTAATCCATACACCATTGAAGTAGCCTCAAAACAAGAGACAAACTTGGCTTCCATAGTGGACGTTGTAGTAAAGGTCTACTTAGCACTCCTCCATGATACAACTCCACCAGCCATCAAAAATATATATCCTGATGTTGATTTGTGTGAATCAATACAGCCAGCAAAGTCAGAATCCGAGTAGCCAATTACTT